AAAAAAAAAAAAAAAAAAAAAAAGCCCTACTCAAGAATCGACCTAAAAAGCAATCAAGACTCGAGCTTTACGCATTCTTCGTAAAACAAACATTATAAGTATTTTTCAAGAGAATTGAGGCATGTTAAAAGGGGAAAAACACCCAAAATCAAGCAGGTCTTACAAAAATGATTCAGCTGACTGATGAGCTTCTGTGTCTAAAACCTCGATCCTCGCGGAGTAAAAAGTAGAGGAATGCTAGCAATGGCTGACCCAAAATCGATCCTTATTTTGCCGATTCCCCACATTTCAAGTAAAAAAAATCTGCGCTTTAAAGCATCTTCAATACTCGAGTAATAAATAGTTGTACCCTTGGCTGTCACATTTGTACTTTCTGTTTATTATAGAAGCGTAACTAGCGTGCATCCCGTGCGATGCACAGACGGGCTTATTACTTAAAACCTTTTTAAAGTTTTATTTTAAACCGTAATTATTTACATTTAACATGTCATTATTGCAACAAAATAAATTCAAAATATAAGAAGTTATATATTGTTTATTGAAATATAATGAGTGTCCCCAACTAAACCATAACATCCAACATATGATATATGATAAAAATAATTATATAAATCGTCACCCTGCTTAATATATATATATATAGGGATTGAATCCAATGAGTACACATATTTAAAGTGTGAATGTGAGACTCATTCCTAGCCACTAGATTGGTACATGATGTGTGGCCAAGATTTAACTCTTCATTTAAATAATAATTCTTTATTTTTATTACTTAATTCTTTATTTTTATTATTTTAATTATTTAAATATTATTTTGACAATTGACCATTGACTTCGGCGTTGACCGTTCACTACCGGCGTTGACCGTTGACTTCCGGCGTTGACTTTGGCGTTGACCGTTGATTTCCGGCGTTGACCATTGACCCATAGTCTACATTTTGTATGAAGTAAATATGCATACAGTACTATGCACTTAGTATGAACTAAATATGCATAAGAAATGAGTTATATATGTCATTCTTATAAACTAAATATGCAGCAATAATATCAACTATGTATGACTGTTTATGTACTAAATATGCACATTTTACTAACTAAATATGCATCAGGAATGAAGTAAATATACAACGAAAATATGCAATAAAATATACATTTTATACAATTAAATTAAATATAATAATTAATGATTTTTTATTATATAATTAATTTTAATTTTAAATTGATTAATAACACAAATACATTGTTATGATTGGATCTCAAAATAAAATATGTATGCACTGTTCATGAACTAAATATGCATTTCGTAAGAACTAAATATGTATCATGAATAAACTGAATATGCATCATAAATTAACTATATAAATATCATTATATATTTAATTTAAATATAACAAGTATACATTTTGTATTAACTAAAAATGCATCAGAAATTACCTAAATATTCACAATAAATTAACTAAATATGCATCATATATAAATTAACTATATAAAATGTACATTTTATTGCATATTTTTTTCGCTGCATATTTAGTTCATTCATGATGCATATTTAGTTCATAACAGATGGATATTTAGTTAATAACACAAATAATTTTTATTATATAATTAATTTTAATTTTAAATTGATTAATAACACAAATAAATTGTTATGATTGGATCTCAAATAAAATAGGTATGCATTGTTCATGAACTAAATATGAATTTCGTAAGAACTAAAATATGTATCATGAATTAAGTAAATATGCATAATAATTAATTATATAAATATTATTATATATTTAATTTAAATATAACAAATATGCATTTCGTATTAACTAAATATGCATCATAAATTACCTAAATATTCACAAAAAATTAACTAAATATGCATCATAAATTACCTATATGAAATGCACATTTTATTGC